CTCCCACCTGCAGGAGGGGCTCTCAGACTGGGGGGCAGCCTGCTGCCTGCACCAGAGTAGTTCTCGCAGAGGCCGCTAAGCAATAGCCTACTGGCTCCTGCCCTCCCCCCACGCCCAAGGCCAGCCGGGGCCTCCTCACCAGGCCAGCAGAGAGGTGAGGTGGTCGGGCGTGGTAGGGTCCGGGCTCAGGGGTGGTGCGGTCACAAAGGCGGCCGCCTTAGCCCAGTTCTTGCTCCAGTAGCTGGTCCCGTCAGTGCCCAGGCTGGCGGCGATGGGCTCGCCGAAGACAAGAGGGCCTGGGGGAGACACAGCCAGTTGGGGTCTGCAGGCCAACAAGCAGGGGCCCCGAGGCAGGAGGACGCAGTGGGCCACAGTCACAGGCAGTGCCCGGGGCAAGATGTGAGCTCCGCTGAGTCCCAGAGGACAAGGCTGCGCAGTCTTAAGCCTCCCACATGTGGGGTGGGCACACTGCATGGGCTGGATCACTGTCTCATCTGCGGCGAAGGCCATGGGGACGCGCTCCAGAGTCCTAGCGACCACACTGTGTGTCTGTGCGCCTGTGCGCATGCGTGCATCTGAGTCTGCGTGTTTGTGAGTCTGTGCGCCTGTGAGTCTTTTTGTCGGTGTGTCTGTGTTTCGGGGGCCTTGTCCCCCCAGTCTGGTTGCTGGGGATTGCAGACCTTGTTTCCAAATGAGCCCCCTGAGTCTGTAACTCCCTGAGAAGGGGGGGCACCTCCGGGGGACTGCACGCCGCGCCCGCCTCCATGTGTGCAGCAACAAGGATGTCCATGGGCCCCATGAAGAGATGGCCTGAACACCACACAGGTGAGGGTGGACATGTGTTTGAGAGGGGACACCAGAAAGATGGGGTCCATCTGGGGTTGGGGGACAATAACCTAGGCTATGTCAACGCACTGCTGCTGACCCAGGACACATAGTGATGCCCTGTACCTGGTCCTCTGCGTGTCCACTGAGAGGTCAGTGGCACAGTTTCCCCTGGGGGCCCCGTGTGTGGCCAGGGGCTGCCCAGACCCCCCAACCGCATGTCCCCAGAGCCTGTGCCCACCTTTCTTCCTGGCCAGAGCAATGACATCGGCAGCCCCTTTGCTCATCACCTTGGTGATGTACACGGGGCAGTTGACGCGGCCGGCGATGGTGATGGCCCGGAACACAGCCTCAGCCTCCACCTGTGGGCACACACAGGGTCAGGGCAGCGCCCCCACCCCCACCGTGCAGTCCCAGGGGGTCTTGACAGGAATTGCCCCGAGGGAAGGACGGGGAAGTGGCCTGTGGGGAGCACAGGGGAGGAGGTGGTCTGTGGGTGGTCAGGGAGACCCAGCCCCTTTGGGGAGGCACTTTACCCCTTCAGGTCGGCTCAGAGCATGGCCCTCAGGACCAGTGATGCCCAACTCCAAGATCCGCTTCTGTCCCTACAAGACAAGACACGGGGGCCAATGACCACAGACCTCAGGCTGAGACAGCACTGGTCAACGTCCTGGGCAGCCAGCTGAGACTGGAGCGTGGGGCTTTGGAGCCTAAGGTGAGTCCCACACCTGCCCTTTCAGTTCGCACATGACCACCGGATGTTGCAGCCAGAGCTGCTCTGGGTTCAGCTCTGGGGAGAAGCAAGTGGGAGGAGCTCAGTCCAGAGCTGACCACTGCCTCAAAGTGCCCACCCCCACTCCCACTCTGGTCCCCACCACTTTGCCCTGCCTCCGCCCCCCTGGCCAGCTGCCCTCTACTGAGAATCTCCAGGGAAAGGAGTGGACTGTCTGGGTTTTACACGGAATCTGAGATAAAGGCGTCCTAGGTCAGGACTGACAGGCTGTGGGCTCAGCACCCAGAGCATGAGTCTAGGCCTGAGGCGGTGTCTGATGGACACTGGCGTGTCCTTCTCTGCCTGCTGGGCAGCGAGGAGCCTTGGTGAGAATGTCCGCTTCTCTTCTGCAGTGTGGCTGCTCATCCTGGACAAAGTGCCCAGGAGCCAGGCCCGCACGTCGGCTTGTCTGTGGACGGCGTGGGCAGGCTGGCGCCCGGGGTGCGGGAGGCACTGCCGTGGGGAAACCTGGGGCATGGGGTCCCATGACAGGCAGAAAGTTGCAGGGCTGACCAGTGTCAGTGCCAAGGAGGCTGCTGTTTACAGGAGGAAAGACCCCTCAGCGGGGAGGGCAGGCTCTGAGCACCCGAGGACAGGGTTTCTGCTCCAGACAATGGCTGGGAGCAGCTGCCTTCTGAACACAAGGGAGGCAGTGGGGTCCCAGTGGAAGCAGGTGGACCAGAGTGCTCCCCCCGCCCCCGCCCCCTTTTGAAGGCTGTGGACACCTGAGCTGAGACAGCGAAACCTGAAGGGGGAGTGGGGGGAGGGAACGCAGAGCAGGCCAGGAAGCGTGGCTCTGTGGAGGCCTCTGCAGTGGGACGTGCGCACCCCCAGAGCCAGCAGAACTGTGGGCGCGCGAGGCCCAGAGTCGGCTGTGACTGGAGGGCTGGCCGTTCCCGCCTGTCCTGGCCCTCGGAGAAAAGGCCTGGGGACCTACTTCTGGGGCTCTGGACTCCGGCACTCCACAGTGACACGCAGGGCATCCTGGTGTGCGGGCTCCCGCCATGGCTGCTGCAAACAGACACCCACCCACTCACAGGGCAGGGCGGGACTGCCCCTGAGGGTTCCCAAGGCTGCAACTCCCTATGGGAGCAGAAGGCCTCCTCCTTCTCCCCAAGGAGTGGCTGGTGGATTCAAACTGCTGACCTTGAGGTTAGCACCCAGCAGACCCCACTATGCCACTAGGCCTTCCGATAGCAACTGGGCCACACTCACAGAGCCAAGGACACACATTCAACACATGACCGAGCGCCGGCCCAGGGCGGCTCCACACCAAACAGTGCTGCCATATCCACGTATCCACCGGCCCGAGGGGGGCCACAAGGAGCACCCAGCAGGAGGAGAGAGCACACAGCAAGGGGAGGCCCGGACCTCACACAGCGCAGCCCTAGGGCACCAGGGCTTCCCCGGGGAACTCAGAGCCCACAAAGCTGAGGTGGTGTGGTGTCCCACGCCTGCCCTGGAGCTCACACCTGTGGAGTGCTCTCCCCTGGATGTGGTGGTCCTACACCCACCCTATGGCCCTCAGTCTGTGGAGTCCTCTCTCCTGGCTGTGGTGGTCCCACACCTGCCCCCCTGGTTCCACTTCTGTGGCGTCCACTCTCCTGATGTCCACATCTATGGTGTCCTCTCTCCTGGTTCCACGTCTGTGGCGTCCACTCTCCTGATGTCCACATCTATGGTGTCCTCTCTCCCGGTTCCACGTCTGTGGTGTCCTTCCTCCTGGTTCCACGTCTGCTGAGTGCTCTCCCTTAGTGCTAATGTATGTGGCGTGTTCCACCCTGGTCTGGTGGTCCTGGCACTTGCTTCTGAAGACGCGCTCACTTCTGAGGCCACGCACTGTGGACCCTGCACCCTGCGCTCTTGCTCACAGGGACAGAAGTGGCTCTGTAGTGACCTGTCGTGCGCTTAGAACTCAGGTCCTTGGGCAGAAGCCCAGCCCCCACCACAGGTCCTGGAAGTCATCATGGAGGGTTTGTAGAAGAAGGTAGGGGCCCCGGCGCCCAGTGACACCTCCTCTTGGCCAAGGACACCTGCGTGAGGCCCACAGAGACCACGAGACTTTGTGCTCTAGGCTGCCCACAGTCACCAGCACTCCGAGGGGTGCGTGGAGGCATGGGGAATTAGGAGGACTGTGTAGGAAATGCCTTCCAGGCTCAGAGGAGACGGGATCAGAGGGCCAGAGCCTGGGACTGCTCGCCCTGTCCTCCCAGACCAAGAACTGCAAGTCCAAGGTGGGACACCACCGTGTGCTGGCTCGGTCATCACAAGCCTTCTGACATGCTGGGCTGGCATGTGCTCAGGCATGGGTCAATCCACACACCCCACCTCCCCAGAGCACACCTGCAGCTGAGGCCCCTCGGCACCCTGTGCAGATGTGGTGGCTCCCCTGGTGGGACTGAGATGGGCATGAGTCTTCCCTGCCTGATCGGTGGCTACCCTGCCCCACCCGAGGTCCACACTCACCTGAACAATCAAGTCCCCGTTTTCTGCGTGCACCAGGATCACAGCTCCCAGCCCCTTCAGAAAGGTGAAGGCTTCGTAGAGCTGAGGAAGGGCACGCGCATCAGGGTGGGAGGGAAAGTGCATGTTGTGTGAAGCCCCCAGCCCAGCTCCCGAGGTCCGCCCTCCACCCCCCTCCTGCCGAGACCCCACAGGTGGTGCAGCCCCGACATCTGGGACAGCCTGGAAGAGACTCTTTGACCTGAATACCTGAAGGCCCCAGAGCCCAGGGTGGAGAGCACCCACAGCTTCCTGCCCCCACCCGGGCTGCCCCCACCTGGCCTTTGCCCCTTCAGGTGCCCGCAGCTGCCGATGGCAACCCTGGAGCTGGTCCTGTGCCTAATCTCACCCACGGAGCTGTGCCCATCCACAGACATGTCAGTCCTGTGACATCCTCGGTGATGGGTGGGGATGACGGCTGCCCAGGGAGGAGTGTGTCGGCCCAAGCAGCCCACACCACTGGTGCTCCCTGCCCCAGGGAGCCTGCTGTTAGACTCCAGGTGTTCTGCCCCATCCTCCTGTGGGGAGCTGTGCAGCCACACAGGGGTGGCTTTGGCTGGGAGACCTGGTCCAGCCCCCACGCCACCCACACCAATGTCCACTGCTTAATAAGGGCCGAACAAAGCCAGGCACCCCAGGTATAAGAGAAGCCGGTGCCCAACAGGTAATAACCAAAGCGGACACTCCCTCTTCTCGCCTTTCAGCCCCTTAGCCAGCAGAGCTGCAGGGTGGATGTGGATGGAGCAAGTGTCTCAACCCCAAACAATCACCACACAACACAGCCACCGCTACCAAGACGGTCCTGACTCACAGCAGCCCATGGGACAAATCAGAGCTTCCCCCAGGGGTTCCCCAGGCTACCAACCTGTATGGGGGCAGAGAACCTCATCTTTCTCTCCCAGACACTGACTGACCGATGAGTGAGCAGCCAGCAGTAACAACCTTGTCTCCTGATCTCCTTAGAGAGAGGTGTGGGTGGGCACTACCAGACATCTGTGGAAGGTGTGGTGGACGTGATCACGTGTGTCTAAGTGGGGGTGTGATGCAGGCACACGTCTCTAGATGGATAGAGGACGGTGGAGGTGTTGCTGTGCTATTAGGTGCTGTGCGTCAGTTCCGACCCACAGGGACCCGTGCACAACAGAAGGAAACACTGCCTGGTCCCTGACGGCAGCTCCTGGGCCTGAGCCCATCTTTGCAGCCACCGTGTCCATCCGTCTTGTCCAGGCCGTCCTCTTTCTCCTCTACCTTTGCACTCCACTTTCCCAAGCGCGATGTCCCTCTCCAGGGACTGGTCTCTCCGGACACCATGTCCAAAGTATGGAAGATGAAGTCCCACCACACTGGCCCCTAAGGAGCATTCTGGGTTTACTTTTTCCAATAAAGATTTATTTGTAATATTCTTTTGTTCTGTTTGCACAACTGCCTCTTGATCCATGTACACGTTCCGTGTGAACACAGGGTCTTTTAGGCAATCCACAGTACTTTCAGCCTCCATCACCAGAGCCGGCCTGCGAGTGCAGCCGTTCTCCTTTGGTCTTCCTTACTAAATGTCCAACTTTTGCATGTATACGAGGCAACTGACAATACCATGGCCCGGGTGAGGCACCCCTCGGTCCTCACATAATCTCCCTGATTTTCAACACTCTAAGAGGTCTTGGGTAGCAGATTTGTCTAATGCAACACAGCGCTCGATCTCCTGACGGCTACTTCCATGAGCATTGATTGGGGAGTCTAAGCAAGACAAAATCCTCAACTTTCTTTTCCCCATTCATTATGAGCTTACCTATTGGTCCATGTGTGAGGATTCTGATCTTCCTTACCTTCGTCCTCATCAGCAAGTGCTTCAAGTCCTCCTCACTTTCAGCAAGCAAGGTTGTGTCGTCTGCATACCACCAATATTAACACGCCTTCCTCCAATCCTGATGCCACACTCTTCTTCATATAAGCCAGCTTCTCTGATGACTGAGTACCGATTGAGTAAGAACGGTGAGAGGATCCCACCCTGGGGCAGCCTTTCCTGATTTTAAACTCTGCAATACTCTTTTGCTCTGTTTGCACAACTGCCTCTTGACCCATGGACAGGTTCAACGTGAACACAATGACAGGTTCTGGAATTCCCATTCTTCTCAAGACTATCCAAAGTTGTTTAGGATCCACAGTCGAATGCTTTAGTGTAGTCAACAAAACACAAGCAAACATCTTCTGGTATTTTCTACTTTCAGCCAAGATCCCTCTGACATCAGCACAGGCATCCATTGTTCCAGGTCCTCTTCTGAATCCCGCCTGAACCTCCGGAAGCCCCCAGTCAACATACTGCTGCAACTCTTGTTGGATGATCTTCAGCAGAATTTTACTGGCATGTGATATCGGCGAGACTGAGCTACAGCTGGGCCATTTCTGCTGGGTCACCTTTCTGTGGAATGGGCAGACTGCGGATCTCTGCCAGTCTGTTGGCCAAGTAGCCGTCCTCCAAATTCCCTGGCACAGAGGAGTGCGTGCTTCCAGGGCTTCGCTGGCTTGTTGAAACATGTTCCCGGGTCTCCCATCAATGCCTGGAGCCTTGCTTTGGCTGCTTCTTTCAGGGCGACTTGAACTTCCTCCCGCACCCTTGCTTCTTGCTCATAGGCTACTCCCTGAAGTGGTGGACTGTTGGCTCGCTCTTTTGGGGACAGAGACTTTGCGTATTCTTTTCAAACTCTTTTGGTGCTCCCTGCACCATTCGAGAGTGTGCTCATAGAACTGCAAGACGGCAGCTCGGAGCTCGGACCCTTCCCTTGGGTTTCGGACTCAGACGCACGGAGGGTGTTTGCTCCTTCTGGTGTGCGAATTCTAGGTTTGGCAGACTTCGTGTCTTCAGCTGCCCTCAGGGGTCTTCGTTCCAACTCTTGGACCCCGTCGTTCCTTCGTTTCCTTTAGTGACTCCACAATTTAAAGCACGCTTCGGTGTCTCTTCTGACACCCACTTTGAACGTTTCTTTCTTTCCTTTTTAATGACCTGTTGCTCTCTTCAGGAAGGGTGGTCTTGATGTCCTGCCACAGCTCATCAGGTCCCTGTCAGCAGTGTTCAGTGATTCGAATCTGTTGTCTGGATGCTCTCTAAATTCAGGTGGGATCAGTCCAGGTCATATTTGGGCTTGCATGGACTTGTTCTCATTTTCTTCAGCTTTATCCTGAACTTCCACCTGAGCAATTGGTGGTCTGCTCCTCAGTTGGCCCTGGTCTGGTTTCAGCTGCTGATGTCAACTCCTCCATCTTCTCTCCCCACCGATGCAGTCAATTCGATGTCTGCGGATTCCGTCTGGGGAAGTCCACGTGTGTTGCTGTCTTTCGTGCTGTTGAAAAAGGTATTTTCTCTGAATAAGTTGTTGGTTTTGCAAAATTCTACCATGCGATCTCCAGCTTCGTCTCTGTCGCCAAGGTCACATGTTCCAACAACTATCCCTGTCTTTGTTTCCAGTTTTTGCATTCCAATCACCAGTAATTATCAATGAATCTTGATTGCATGTTCGATCAGTTTCCAACTGAAGTGATTGGTAGAGTTCTTCGCTTCCTCACTGTGGTACGTGGAGGGCCTGGATGAGAACGTCATGCAGCTAAATCACCTGTGCTCGTCATTATGAGTCTGGAAAGCCGACTCTGGTGGGGGAAGACCCTCATGGTGATGAGATGTAAGTAAATCTTAGTACACATTCTCACGACTGAACACAGTCCCTCCAATAACCCCCATAAAGGAACTGCCATAAAGGGGCTGCCATAAAAGATGTCTCATACTTGTATCTAGCTATTCCCTATGCCTGAAGGTTATCTGTAGATAAGAACAATCAGGTTCTATAGCCAGCCCACCATACACAGTAGCAGCCCCCTGGGGAGGCTCAGGGACGTTTGAGGTCAACTAGCACTGGGTTGAGATGATGCTAGTTTATCATGTTACCCCCTTATGATATCACCCAATGACTATGTAGCATGTTGCTGTGTGACACGTGTGCCTTATGAACCCTGTTACGTGTATGCATTGGAAAACACATTCCCTCTTAGTCCTGGCACGGGACAAGGAGCCCCTGTCCACCTATGTCTGTCTGTCTCTAATATTTTCCACAATCACCAAGTCTTTCCTGAGGACCCGTTCAAGTGTTAGGGAACCCCCTGCCTCCCCAAACTTCATCACCAGTCTGGGTGGCTTGTGCGTACATTTCAATCACGGGTGCACTGATTGGATCCCTGGGCGGCGGGGAGATGTAATCCGATTGCGGCAGCACTGTGCTTCACGATGGGTTTTGCAGTGTCCTGTTTGACAATGAGTGCCACGCCATTCCTCTCGATTGTGTATTCCAGGCACAGCCAATCATACGATCTCCTGATTCAAAATAGCCCATGATTTCCGATTTTTCTGGATTCAGATATCCCAAGTGCCGGTTATTGTATCTTCTCATTTTGAGTTTGCCCACCAACAGATGAAGGTCCCGAAGGCTGGCTCCATTCAGTCACCAGGCCGACTCCAGTCTGAGAAACCAGCTCTCCCTGTCACACTTTGAGAGTCTCGAACCTGAGGTCGCCCACCCTGCAGCACCATCTTCTGCTACCTTTCCCTAGGCCTCCGGTGTCTGACAGCACCTCAGCCGTGCACAAGCTTTGCAGCGGCTCCTTCCTCCAAGGGGGCAGCTGGGTCCTTCTTCACTGTCTGTGGGGAGGAGGTGTGATAGCACATGACCACAAGTCCCATTATCACACGTGTATGTGTACGTGTGGGTGGACTATCACATGTGTAGGTGTGGGTGGACATGATCACATGTGCACCTGTGTAGGTGTAGATGGACATTACCACATGTATAGGTGTGGATGGACATTATCATATGCGTAGGTGTGGGTGGACATTATCATATGCGTAGGTGTGGATGGACTATCACACATGTACGTGCAGCTGTGGTTGGACATTATCACCTGTGTAGGTGTGGATGGTCTACCATGTGTAGGTGTGGATGGACATTATCACCTGTGTAGGTGTGGATGGACATTATCATATGTGTAGGTGTGGATGGACTGTCACACGTGTACATGTAGGTGTGGATGGACTGATACATGTGTACATGTAGGTGTGGATGGACTGTCACAGGTGTACGTGTAGGTGTGGATGGACTGTCACACGTGTATGTGTAGGTGTGGATGGACTGTCACATGTGTACATGTAGGTGTGGATGGACTGTCACACGTGTACGTGTAGGTGTGGATGGACTGTCACACATGTATGTGTAGGTGTGGATG